AGTCTACTTTTGGTCAAAGTCAACATCTGGTTGACCAGACTCGCCGAGTTGGTTCACTAACTCGTCGAGTCCCCTCGTCCACAAAGAGCTAAAACTTCATCCCCACTCGTCAAGTCTAGTAAGAGCTCCACGAGTTCGCCTTCAACAACACATCATACTTTCTTCAAACTACTCACGCAGTTCATCCTTGAACTCGTCAAGTTCATCTTCATCCGTATGAATGAGTTCAATTTATGACTCATCGAGTCCGTCTTCATGTGGTTGGGACATTGCCTTGAACTCGCCGAGTTAACTCATACACTCGCTGAGTTCTATGGTTTTCAGGTCCCTAATGAGCCTAAACAATTGAGAGACCTTTAATCTTAGCATCTAGTCCATCAACAAAAAGGATTTGATGGAAAATACGTCCCGACTCACCGAGTCCCATGAACGAATCACCAAGTCCCTCTTTGTCCCAATCTATATAGTTGATTTTAATTTGTCTAAATGCATCCAAAACATAGATCTAACCTCTTAAGGTCCATATTATACGTAAAGCTACGGACTTGATGTCCATGCATAGGGTTTGTGGCTCAAAAAGCCATAAAAAAGGGGTTTATATAATGCATGGGTCTCCATAAAAAAGGATTTGATGGCCATAAAGTTGGCACCTTTATCCATGGGAACCCTCCATGGTTCCAAATCTGAAGTGCAACTCCAAATATACACACAAATCCGAGTATAGCTTCACTAAAGCTTAAAAAAAAGGTAGAAAATAGCCCCAAATCAAGATCTAAGTAACGAATAGTCAATGTATCAGGTTTATACCTCAAATAAGCAGGAAATATGTCGAGACTTCTGGATCTACTCGCTCTCTCTTGATCTCCCAAGCTTCCTTCTCCTTCTCCAACTTCAAACACACACAAAAGGCACCAAAAAGCTCAAGAACACTCACTAAAGGCTTAGGGTTTCTAGTTAGGGTTTCTCTGGGTTGGGAGGGACGATGGGGGCTAGTTTGGGGAAGAATAAGACGTTTAAATAGGGTGCAAACCCTAAATATTAGGGTTTCATCCAGACAGCTTCTACTTGTCAAGACGGTCCCCTAACTCGTCGAATAGATCACTAAAGTTCCTGCGCAATGTTGAGTCTTCGTCGAGTTGGGCCTCCAACTCGTCGAATCCTAGAGCAAAACATGAAATTACTAGGATTTAAATACATACAAGGAACCGGGTGTTACATGGTTGAAGATGAAGCACTTTGTTTGCCAAGAGGACAACATTCTAACAATTTAGAAATAGACATTCCATTATCAGACCAACTACAACCAACCACTTAAACAATATATTATAAATGCCAATAAAATGTTGTTTTTATTCCTATCAACCTTTTAAAAAAACACTGTTATAGAAATTGGGAAAGCTTTACACACCAAACATAAAGGCTAAATTGAAACATCCCAAAATACGACCCAAAAATTTTTGTTTAATAATTACTAAAAACACCATGATAAAATCATAAGATAAAACTCGTACGTCAATATCTCACAAACAAAAGTAAAGTGTTATGAGTAAACTGTATCAAGACTGTATCAATCACATCTATGAAAAACCAAAACAACTCCTAGGACAGCTGAAGTTATGGTGTGTGCGATACCATCAACCCGAACTCTTCCCTTTGCTTGCGGAAGTACCTGAAACCAAAACTGAAACTGTAAGCACGAAGCTTAGTGAGCTCCCCCAAACTACCACATACCATACAATACATATAAACACATACTGGGCCTTGCCCACTGCATCGTACTGAAGTCTAGAAACTGCATCGGACCAAAGTCCGGAACTAACCAGGGCCTTCCCCTCTGCATCGGATCGAAATCCGGAACTATTGAGGCCTTGCCTCCTGCATCGGACCAAAGTCCAGAACTAACTGCATCAGACCGAAGTCCGGAACTGACTGCATCGGACAAAAGTCTGGAACTACTGAACATGGCATCACATAAGCATATCAACTAACATGGGCACATAGATATCATACTACATCGGGCTGTAACCCGAAACACATAACACATAAATCCTGTTTGAGCCACGAAGGCATCAAACATACTAAAATCTGCATCGGACCAAAGTTCGGAAACTACTACTAGCTAAACGGGTCGGCATTGTGGCCTTAGACCCGTTCCTACTGAAAGGAAACTCACATCATGATCTGGCTGCTGAGTGTGTGGCTCCGGGAAATATCTGCTGCTGCTCCGGTATCTCCCCGGCTACAATTCCACAAATACACTCAATCAAATACTAATAACTGTATTGGGGTAAAATGACTCTTTTACCCCTGGCTAAAGTCAACTCTCCTGGTCAAAGTCAACCTCATAGTTGACCTGACTCGCTGAGTTGGGCCGCCAACTCGCCGAGTCCCTACTCTCAATTCTCAACCCTGCACGCTGCTACTCGTCGAGTATGGCATACACTCGACGAGTTCCCATTCTATATAAACACTCAGGTTATCTGCATCCGACTCGCTGAGTCGTATGAACAACTCGACGAGTTGTTCTTGAATCATAAGAAGATTGCCTTGGACTCGCCGAGTTGTATGAACAACTCGTCGAGTCCATCCATTGCTGAGTCTAACCTCTAACTCACTGAGTCCATACACTACTCACTGGTCCCCACTCGGAATCACTCAAAGGGGAAGAATCGGGGACTCGCGGCTCGACTCGCCGAGTCTGAAGAACGACTCGCCGAGTCTCATGCATGCAACTTCTAAAAACTCGATTCTGCTCAAAACCACTGCATACAATATATAGATCTGAGCTCCTAAGGCTGGTTTACCACGTAAAGTTCCCAACTTGGAAAGGCTAGAAAGGCACTTGGAAGAGTAGATCTAGGGCTATCATGCAAAATGGCTCCATAAAGTTGATAGATCTACGTTTTTGGAACTGAAACATGGCTAGATTCGAAAGCTAATCCATCCAATATGATTTCTCTACTATGAACAAGCTAAAGAATGGGCTAAATATGCTTATAAAGGGGAATCTATCAACAAAACGGGAAGAAACTGATCATTACCTCAAAGTACTCTGAGATGGAAGCAAGGACTTGGATCTTCTTCTTCTTCTTTGGATTTAGCCTTCTTCTTCTCTTTAAAACTACAAGAATTACACCAAGAATGCTCAAAAACTTAATGGGATGATTAGGGTTTGCTTAGATAACGTTTTGAGGATGAAAGAGACGAGTTTGGGGTTGATAAGGTGGTTTAAATAGGGTGCAAACCCGGGGATTTAGGGTTACTACCTGGCAGACCGACTCGCCGAGTCCCGAATATGGACTCGCCGAGTCCCGAATATGGACTCGCCGAGTCGCCGATCTATAAGTTGATCAACATCGCGACCCTACTCGACGAGTCGGGACGTAGACTCGCCAAGTTCCTCTACAAACTTTAAAAATAAATACTATAAAAGCAACGTACCAGAGACGGGTCGTTACATAAATTATCGGGCCTCTGAAAAACACCACTTTAGCGTTTGGTTGGAATACAAACTCCATTTTAATGTTCAACAATAATCAATTTAGTATTTTATGGTTGAAGTTACTCTCATAAACATAGGGATGATATATTTAAACTTTTTAATTGTTATACTAATTCTAAGATATAAAAATGATTATAAACTATTAAAGACATTTTAAAAAAGATTTTAGGCAAATATAATATTTTAGAAGTTTATAAAGGATAAATATAATATTAAAAATTTAAGTTGGATAAATATAATATTTCAAGGTTTAAATATTGGAAATTTGATATGAAATGATAAATAAAATAATTATGCAAATTAAAGAAATGTAATATATTTTCAATAAAATTTCAATTTTGAATTTAGATATTAATTAAAGGGAGAATTTCATATATGCCCCTCTTAAACTTTAAAATATCATATTTACCCAGCTTAATTTCTTAATATCATATTTACCCTTTATAAACCTTCAAAATATCATATTTGCCAAAATCCTTTTTTATAATGTTTTTAATATTTTATAATCATTTTTTATAACTTAAAATTACTATAATAATTAAAAAATTTAACGATATTATCCTTACGTCTATGATAAATTTCTAAATTGTTGGAATGTCATCCTCTTGACAAACAAAAATGTTTATCTTCAATATTCTCTATGGAATGTATATTTTGATTGTGTAGATTTTTTTTTTGTTGATTATATTGTAGATGAAGGATATTTTAGATATTACCATTGATATTTTGATGTTTAAAAAGTGCATATACGATATTTTGATACTTAAGAAGGGCATATATGATATTATGATGTTTAAAAAGGACATATATGATATTTTGAAATTTTATGAAGGGTAAATATGATATTTAGAAATTTTATGAAGGGTAAATATGATATTTAGAAATTAAGTTGAGTAAATATGATATTTTGATGTTTAAGAAGGGCATATATGAAATTCTCCCTTAATTAAATTGTTGATGAACCATATGTCGAACCCCTTGGGTTTTTAATTAAATTGCAAATGGGATTTTACTTGTTATAATCAGTAAAATCCAAATTTTAGTTGTATGTATATTTAGTTATTAGTAAAATTTTAGTTGTATTGATATAACTAAAATCGAGATTTTACTAATACCCAAAATATACATACAAGTAAAATCTAGATTTTAATGATTATTACAACGTAAATCTCGTAAAGTCCCATTTGCAATTTTGTCTTTTTGAGAAGTATCATTAAAAAATAATCAGTCAATAAGTATAATATAAACATAAAAGAAATAGTTTTTCTGCATGTGGAATGAGAATAATTTTAAATTTTAATTGGAGTATTCAACTATAGAAACAAACCTTGAAGTCTTCAAAGATATGTGGTTCTAAGAAACACCGTACCTAACCATCATCTCCATCTCTATGTGTAAGTCTCCTTTTATCTTCTTCTATAAATACATCAACTCCACGTACCTAGTCCTTCCTACCAATCGCTTGAAAAAACCTCTTTACATATATTACTTACGTACTATGTCTCTGAGAGCAAGGCCGGTAACAGCCCTATCCTCCTCGGATGACGAGGAGGAGAACGAGATCCCCGACAGCCCTAAGCCGCCACCACCACCACCCACTATGTCACAATGGGCTATATCACAGACACTAGCTAGCACAGCCCAACTAGCCAACCTCCTACCTACAGGCACCCTCTTAGCCCTCCAAACCGTAACACCCATCTTCACCAACCATGGTTCCTGCGACGCCGTCACACGACCACTCACCGCCATCCTCCTCGTCTTCCTCACCGCCGCTTGCTTCCTGGCAAGCTTCACCGACAGCTTCAAGTCCTCAGACGGACAGGTCTTCTATGGGTTTGCAACGTTCAAAGGCATGTGGCTCTTTGATTACCAAACAGCAGCAGCATCAACCTCCGGTTTACCGGACCTGAGAAAGTATAAGTTGACGGCGGTTGACTGGATTCATGCTTTTGTGTCGGCATTCGTGTTGCTGACACTGGCCATGAGAGATAGAAGCGTGGTGAGTTGCTTTTATCCACGACCAAGTCATGAGGTTCAAGAGGTTCTGGACATCGTTCCGTTGGGACTTAGTCTCGGTTGCAGTTTGGTGTTTGTGATCTTCCCTTCCAAGAGACATGGCATTGGCTACCCTGTATCCCATTGATCTTCACCTTTTCTTTGAAACAACCCAATTCTACTTTCTTACAAGAAAACCGAATCTATGTATATATAGTTCGTTTTAGTTATGTAAGTGTTTCATTTGATTTTGCATACATTGTTACAGAAATAATAACAATTACTTATTTTACCATTTTTCTATGATCTATATATTATATATGATCCTATTTATGTACTTGTTCTTGCATATAATTATAACATGATGTAAATTGCGTACCAAAATGTTAAATGATTTAAGTCGAATAGATCTGAAATGGTTAAAAGTTTACGACTAAAGTTTTTAAATGAATAAAATAATAGATTAGGTTTCAAATTAAAAAGTGAATATAAAATTCATGGTCAATATTAAGTATGATCAAGTGGGACAATGGCTTCGCTGTAGGTGGCGGCTTAAAGAAATGTTATTGGAGTAGGTATAATGAACAAAATCCCACGTAATTACGTAATTTAAAACTGATGGCACATAATTTTATTTATTTATTTATTTATTTTGAAAATGATAGACTTTGTTGGAGCATCGATATGGAGAGTATATTGATTAAATTATTTAGATGACAAAGTTGTAAGTGAAATTTTGCAAACTCTGAAACTTTAGATTAATGTTGGATGAATCGTTATATGAATCATGAGATTTTTTTGTATAAATTAGGCATGTGTTTAAGGTGTCGAAGTTAAGAATACCCACACAATATGGTGCATTTTTTATGATTTGAATTGGTTGTATCATGTCATTATAGGTAATTCAAACTTAATACAAAAAGAGGATTTATAAACCTTTAAAAATTTTATTGATTAAGGTTTACACATTGTACGTTGATACTTGATACACATATGATATAACACCACGTAACTTCCAAATGAAGTTCAACATTATGAATGTTGTGATGTCAATATTGTGTACAAGCAATTGAAAAAGAAAAATATAAGAGTTGGGTTGTGATATATTGTGGTTTAGAATTTATTTTGCTACGTAACCATTGATTGTTATAAACCTAGACTCAAATATAGTTACCTTTATAAGAATTGTTTTGAATAACACATCTTCAAATAGAAATGATACAATTTCAAAATTATAAATTTCATCAATCCATACGTAACATAAGATAAAGTACCATTATCTTATAATTAAGACTTAACATGCAATATTTGATATTTGTGACGTCATGTGGAAATAGTAGTATTTGTCTTTTAAATTACTAATAGAAGTCATTGTTAATGCAATAACAACGATAACAAATAATTTGTTAGTAAAGTTTGTAATCCAAAGTAAATTACACTTGCTAATTATATGCTTGATAATATTAACAAATCTCTTTCCATAACTAATTTGCTAAAAAGAATGCGTTCAACCAGATTTTTACTTCTTCCACTAGCTAGGATCTCAGAATGTCATTTCCTTGTCGTACACATGGTATAAGGGCATCTACAATGCATTGAACTACATAGAGTTTAATGGATTGTCACATCATCATTCTTAATTCATACAACTCTATTATAGTTTTCTCTACAATGCAGTGAACTCTATAAAATTCAATAGAATGTTACAAAATATAATTTATAGTAAATATTTAAGGATTAAAACTTTCATTTTTCTTATTGAAGAGTTCAATGGCCATTGAACTCCAAATTCATTGAATGTCAAGGTGACATCTCACGATGGTTGAGTTTCATCCATTGAATGACACATAGATTTACCAACTCTCCTATTGAACTCACCATTGTGGATGCTTTAAGTATATAAGGGTGTGAAATACTCTTGTAATTGGGTAGATTGGCAATGTCCATCTTTTCTTTCTATATGTAATCTTGTTTCTTTAGCCTTCGCTCTAGTATTTGCTAGTGGAGATGACTATATATATATATATATATATATATATATATATATATATATATATATATATATATATATATATATATATATATATATATATATATATATCAAAAAACCATGATTCAATATAAGGAATTTGTTGCTAATTTTGATGTGTCTAAGAAATTATGTTGCTAATATCCATTTAGCATTTACCTTACTAGCAATAACTACTCTTCGTTGCTAAATGTTGATTGCATTTTGGTCATTGGTGTTTACTACTAATCTGTCTAATCATAATGTTGTTTACGTTTGCATTTAAAAAGAAATAATCTGGAGAACTTAATATAGTTAATTAACTTGTGTTTTAAGTTGTATATTGTACATTTCTTGGACGTCAAATCAAAAGTGGAGTACTGTTTTTCTTATTCCTTATTTACGTCCTTATGTTTGTATTAAGAACATCCATCGATCATTAATCTCAAGTATATATCACGCACAATAACGATCATGCTCCTTAAGATAAAGATAGTTAAAATAACCAAAATGAATTACATCCAATTTAAAAAACAACACATTGTGCGATTATACTTGGCTAAATAACACACATTTCATAACATAAACTAAAGTGTTATTGATCACTTTAAATCTCACATACACTTTGATATAACTAGAAGTAAATAAAACAAGACTATAAACCAATAATAAATGAAGATTTTTCTTTTTTTTATGTACATGGAATTAATATGGAAAGAGAAGATCAATGAGTAACGGGGTAGCCAATGCCATGTCTCTTTGAAGGAAAGATGACAAACACCATACTGCAAATAAGACCAAGCCCCAATGGAACGATGTCCAGAACCTCTTGAACCTCATGACTTGGTCGTTGATAAAAGCAACTCACCACGCTCCTATCTCTCATGGCCAGTGTCACCAACACAAATGCCGACACAAAAGCATGAATCCAGTCAACCACCATCAACCTGTATTTTCTCAGGTCCGGTAAACCGGAGGGTGATGCAGCTGCCGTTTGGTAATCGAAGAGCCACATGCCTTTGAACGTTGCAAACCCATAGAAGACCTGCCCGTCTGAGGATTTGAAGCTGTCGGTGAAGCTCGCCAGAAAGCAAGCGGCGGTGAGGAAGATGAGAAGGATGGCAGTGAGTGGACGTGTGGCGGCGTCACAGGAGCCGTGGTTGGTGAAGATGGGTGTTACAGTTTGGAGGGCTAGGAGGGTGCCTGTTGGGAGGAGGTTGGATAGTTGGGCTGTGCTAGCTAGCGTCTGTGATATAGCTCGTTGCGAAAGAGATGGTGGTGGTGGTTTACGGCTGCTGGATATCATTTCCTTCTCGTCCTCCTCCTCGTCGGATGAGGATGTATTTACAACCGGCCGAGCTCTAAGAGACATAATATTTATATATCCCTTCTTTTCCCTGTTGAATGTGTGACTGATCAATCTTTTGCTCTTCGTTTGGGAAATACTATTAATTTGCTTCGAATTTCGAGGTGGTGGTGGTGTATTTATAAGAGAAGAGGAAGGAGAAATTTGAGGAGGTGGTCGGTTGCGTCCTGTCAGCACCACCGTTTTGAAGACGCTACGCTCTTTATCAGATTGATACTTTTTGCATCCAGAAAACATTTCATTAACAAAAAGAATACATTATATATAAACAAATATTGACAATTCTTCTGTGTAAAGTCAAGATACCTAATCCTATATTTTCTTTTGACTGCCCCCTTCACAAGACCAAGACAACTCCACGTCATTATTTAATTACATTTCAATCTTTTAGGCTATTGGCTGCAGCAACATTATTTTTTCACACCCCAAAATGTCTTCATCCTAGTTCATATATTTTTCGTGTTATACGGTCAAAGTGAATTTTTAAAAAACATATAAATTAAATAACACATAATTAAATAAATACTTAATTAAAAACGGAATTATAACGAAAAAAAATAAAAACGACACTACAACGAAAAAAAACACTAATCTGCGTCTAAATATTTCTGCTCGATCTTCACATTCATTTTCGAAGCACATCCAACCGTCTCGATGGCATATTCTCATCGCTAGTTTGAAAAATTGTCAAATCTTTCGTAATGCGATTTTCCTCGGCTTCACGACGAATGAACTCCAAATGCTCCCGTTGCACCTTATATCTTTTACGCGGGATTTCGTTGTGATCGTCAAAATTTTGTTTCATTTCAGCTTGCTTTCGACGTCTACTTTCGCCTTCCTCCGCATGTCGTTAAGCACGTATCGTTTTATCGCGACCTATCGGTCGTCAAGGCGGGGAGATCTCTTCAAGGTCATTCAAGTCATCCGGTATCTCATCCGTGTCCGCATTGAGATCGATGTTCGTGCGTGCGTCCGAAATGTCGACTGAACCCTAGTTGCGAGACCTCTTTGATTGTTGTTCCGTAAATGTGTCTGTTTTATTCCACTTTGGGTCTTCCTTGACAATCTCCCAAATCTTTCCGTGCTAAAAAACGTGACCGGTCTCGACATGATATTGGTCCCTAGCCGCTCTATAAACGTCAAAATCAATTACACCACTTTGCTTGTGCGATGAAAATTTGTTGTAGACAGAATTAAAGTTAGTGTACTTCTTGCTTATTTGAGTCCATTTGCTACTCAACATGTCGTGACTGCAATACTTTTCATCCTTCAAAATGGTGCGAAATTTCCCGATCACGGCTTCCCAAAATCAACTTTTCTCATATCGTTTCCTTGCATTAGAATTTTTGATGTCTCACACCAAGCCACCACCAACGCGTATTCCTCCTCCGCAGTCCATCATGTTGGAGGTTTGTAACAGATGGTTCCTGGTATGTATTTAATTTATTAATTATTCAATTTATAAGAGCAACTCGATGAATTGGATGCGCTAAACTCATCGAGTAGAGATCATATGGGCCGCGTAATTTAAGTAACCTACTTGACGAGTTGAGAGGCCACAACTCGACGAGTAGACTGGCAGAGGAGAAACCCTAATTTCCGGGGTTTGCACCCTATTTAAGCACCTTAAACTTTCCATGTTAGCCTCATTTCTAGCCTCCAAGTCCCAAACCCTAAATCTCGAAAACCCTAAATGCTATTGTGAGTGTTTGTGAGTTATTTTAAATGATTTAGTGTGTGTTTTAAAGCCATTGGAAGAAGGAGAAGCTTGAGGGCACAAGAAGTAGTTTATAGATCCAGAACCCTTGCTTTGTGGTCATTTAGATCTCCATTTTTGAAGTTCCTTGCTTATTTTGGTCAAAATAATATGATTCCTGGGATTTGGACGTTCCAAGTTGAGAACACTTCATATCTAGGGTCTTGAAAGGTTTTCATGGCATAAAGGTGCCAACTTTATAGCCATGGAAGCCCCATGAAATCTCTAGACCATCATTATGGTCTTTTGAAGCTTTTATGGCCATGCATATGGATAAAATTTAAGACTTTACGTAATTATTTAGTCCCTAAAGTCCAGATCTATGACCCCATGGTCTATCTTGAAGGTTTGATGGCTTTTGATTTCGGATCTATATCATTTTGGGTTAGGTTTGAGTTTTTTCCTTGGGGAGAGGTTCTTAATGGGTAAAGTTGGAAACTTTACCCTTCTAGACGTATTTCCAAATTAGATCAAGAAGATAGGGCCCTGGTTTAAAGAATGGTGACTTAATGCATTAAGAAGGGCTAACTGACTGAAGAACTCGACGAGTTGGGTCGAATTGTCCTGATCATGTTAAAGGAAAGAACTCGGAGAGTTAAAGGAAAACTCAATGAGTTGGATCGCGATTATACGTTTTTATGATTTATAGGAGCTCGGCGAGTTGAAAGGAAAACTCGACGAGTTGAGTCAACTTGGAGTGTTGGCTTTGACTTAACCTTGGCTTTGACTTTGACCATAGTTAACTTAAAAAGGGATATGAGTATAAATAGTATCTAAGGGGTTGTTTTGATTCAGGTAGTGTGTAGAGCTGATCCCGGGACATAGACGTTTCAGTTATCATTTGACATTGGAGGTGAGTTTTCCTCCTGTATGAACGGGTCGAAGGCACTGATACCAGCCCGTATATGTATGTTAGTATGTACCAGGCTAAGGCCTTATGATGGGCAATGCCCAATGTAGGTTTATATGTGTAACGCCCGTAGATCCGGGCTAGTCAATTTAGAGATAATAGGGGTCGAAAACAACTTTTCGACAAAAGATTATTTAAAATAAATAATCTTAACCAAGTTGTAGAACATGTCTCAAGGGTTCTGTACATATAAAGAGCGCTGGAATCCGAGTTATAACGAAGAAGTTATGACCCATCGAAGTTTTGTGACGGAACCGGCACATCACCGGGGAGATGTAAATAGTTAATTTATGATAGAGCGACTTTTATCCTTAGTGGTCTAAATGAAATTCATAGAATATGTTAACCTGAGAGCGTCCATAAAAAGAACGCCCAAATCTGACTTCGTATGAGGAAGTTATGATTTTTCTAAGATTTGGCTTAGCAGTGCACGACCCGAAACTCGAATTTTAGTTTGAGCGGTTTTTGGCTTATGCAACCTAAATGAGAGTTTCAATCTCATTAATAGGAACTCAATGGTAAAAAGACAGATGAAAACGGAGTATGTATGAAGGAGTTATGAATTTTTCGCGGTCATTTAACAGTCTAATCTTTTCGTACTGTTAAATTTAAGATCGGTCGAGAATTGAATTCAATACATATCGATTGAAGGCAAATGGGCAACAAGCTGTGCTGCTAGCTATTTTTGGATGGCAAAACCAATTCTTTTGAAAACAACATTTGTGGAAGTTGTAGATCTTATTTTTTACCTACGCATGGATATAAAGAACGTAAAAAACGGAGCTCTTATGTGAAAGTTACGGATTTTAGAAGTCGTAAGTGTGTTGTGCGAAAATGAGTGACGTGGCAAAATCTTGCCCATTGCTTTCTCCCCAAGTCTTGCCACCAGATGGTGACATGTGGCACCAAGTTCAGCCATATTTCACCCTATAAATAGAACCTCTCCCACCCTCATTTTCTTCACACCTTTCACATTCTTTCTTCTCTTTACTCTCTTTCTAGAACCTCTCTCTAGCCCCGAAACCCCCTGAAAAGCCTAGGGAACCTCCCTAGCACGAGGCGGAAGCCCCGAAGTGCTCGATGGCTCCGAGAAGAAGAGATTTTCGGCTTGGGAACGCTGCTCCAAACAAAGCCCGGTTTTCTATAAAACCCATTGTAAGTGATCTACGCCTACGCTATTTTTAATATAACTTTTATTTAATTATAGTAACGTTATTAGAAACTTATAATAAGTACTTGAGCTATTATTATGAGTTATATACGTATTGTTTAACACTTATATAATAGTAATAATAACTAGACTATTAATTAATCTCAGCGAATAATAGACTAAACTCTAATGGTAATAATACTAGTTTTCGTCGAAGGAAATTATTTTTAAGAAGCGAAGCGCTGTCTGAGTTCGGAATCACCACTTTTTCAAGTGAGTGCATAGTTACTTTCATCTTACACATAGATATGAAGTATTTTATATAAATTACGTGTTATGTGTGCATATTATTTGAATACTTGTTGTCTATGTTGGATGAACGATTTTATACATGTTTTAAAAGATTTAAATGGTATATTTATTTTATATCTACAAATATGTTGCGGATGAAACATGTGTAGATGAAATAGTTGGTGTGTGATGAAATAAAATGATGAGAGATAGGTGATGATAATTAGGTAAATAGATGATGATGAATAGGTGATGTAGGATAAAAGGAGATACCATAACCTTAACCGGCAATGTGACGATGTAGTCATCTACCAAAGTATAGATGGTGACCACAAACTATTCTAGACAACCCCGTGGAAACACCAGCAGACCCATAACCTGTAGGTGATGAATTACGAGTTCAAGCGATATTGTAACTACGTATTCATGCGATGATACTCTAACCCCTTACTATGAATTACGAGTTCAAGCGATGTAACTACGTATTCATATGATGATGCTCTAACCCTTTTCAGGCACGTATTGAGGGAGTAATCCTTGAATCAATATTGTCTGTGCGATGTAGGCGATGATCCTTGGGGAGAGTCCTTAGGAACAAACATATAAGGAAATGCGATATAAGGAGATGAGAGGTAAATATGATGTAGGAGACGATCCTTAGGATAAATCCTTAGGGAAGGTACTTAGGAATAGAGAAGATAATGGGGATGGGTAATTGGGTTAATTGTTTGATGATTAAACATAATAATTATATTATTATGGGTTGAAAACCCTATGTTCTCACCAGGTTTCCCAACCTGACCCACTCAGCTTACTTGTATCACAGGTGACGAGGTGAAGTTACATTACATTGAGAGATTAAGGAGATATAGATCACTAGTGTAAATGAATGTAAGTTCTGTTTATGCTTATGTTTTTATATTGACGATGACATCCCAAATGTTTTAAAATAAATAAAAATACATTTCTTCGGAAATGCTTTGATAATGAAATTATCATGTTTTTCTGGGAACAAATTTCGCAACGTTTTTATTAAAAGAGATACTCTGATTTTTATAAAACATAAACAAAATCGGTCTTTTCTGGCCGTGAAAATGGGGATGTCATAGTTGGTATCAGAGCAATAGTTTAAGCGAACTAGGAATTTGTAGGATTTCTAGACTTAAACTTAGAATGCTAAGCGATGACTGTGAGATGTGAGCACTAGCTTATTTTAGGAATTGTTCCTAATAATGCTTTTATGTGCTAAATGCTTTGTGCCTGATATGCTGTTATTTATTCGGATCTATGGTCTATTGCTGACCGAATCTAGAAACTTTATGTGTTCAGGTTTCTAAACGTTCAATTACGGTATTAGAACTGGCATATAAGTTTTCGAAGAGATAAGGATATTATACGTCAATCATAGAACTGGCATATAACCTGGGAGGTCCCCGTTATTTTGGAAAGAAGACAAGAGGCAATGGTGTTCGGGCAGAAGTGTCTATCGTGATGGTTCCTGTGTGCGAAGTAGCTTAGGGTTAACGGAGAGTAAGGAGGCATTCGATGGGATGTTTTCTGCAAGGAAGAGAATGGTTAAGAAGATGAACTTCGTTGTTGAAGGAGGTAACCATTAGGACTCTTGAAGCGCCTCATTTTGGAAGTCATGTGGCTATTTCTGGTTTCTAGAAACGAAAAGAAAGGTATAAGACCTTCGACTAATTTTAACTTTGGTGGTCTTCATTTATAATTAGGGCTTGATGTGGTGGGCTTACAAATGGTATTTGGGCTAAAGTAAGTTGTATAATATTATTGGGTTAATTAGCATGTGCTATTTTCTATATTGGGCTAAAGTTTATTGGTTCAAGATTGGTACCCATTTTTAATTAGACAGTGAGTACAATTTTATTAAAATCAATATAAATACATTTATCGAGTTTTGCAAATGGTGTGACATATAATTTTATTAGAGATGAAATTTATCTTCAAATCAATATTTTATATGAGATAACGTTTTATCATATGACGAGAATTTATATATTAAAATGAAGTGGTAAGAGTTTGAACATAAAATGGTATTTTACCCTCGAGTGTGTAAAACAAGAAGTAAGCCTCGATTTGGGGTTTGGGTTCGGTAATTTGGGCTTCGGTTGGGATGAGTTGTTTCTTTGGGCTATGAATTATTTGTTTGGGCTCTGGTTGGGCCTCAGGACCTTGAGGGGGCCTTGGGTTGGTTTGGGCCTTGAGTTGTGTTGTTGAGCCATTAGTGGGTCTTAGGCCAAGTTTGGGTTGGGCCCATTAAGGAAAGGGTAAAATGGTCTTTTACCCTAGGAGTCGGGACCACGATTATTGGATTATGGCATAAGTATTAATTGGAATTTATTTGTTGTTAGTTTGTGATTTCCGGTTCAGCAGCCAAGTGTTATCTGATTAGCAATGGATCGATGTGAGTTACCTTCATTGTATTTGTGGGTTGAAGGCACAATGTCTGCCCACTAGTTGATGTTTATAGTAAGATGATTGTCTTTGTGATAATTGTCTAGTATGCTAATGTTTGTTGATGTTTATGTGATTATTTACTTATGATATTATGTGGTAATGATAGGTGGTAAAATAGACTTGGTACTCGGTTGAAATACACCGAAGGGATAGGTCAGGCACCTAGATATGTCTGATAGGGGTAGGTCAGACACCCAAATATTTATGGCGGTATCCGGTTGGAAGAGACCGAAGGGGCAACTCAGATATGCTCGACACTATTCGGTCGAAATAGACTGAATGGGTAGGCTGCGCACCCATATATTCGTGGCAGTATGTTGTTTTAGTATGTGGTATGGTGAGGAAACTCACTAAGCTTTGTGCTTATGGTTTTCAGTTTATGTTTCAGGTACTTCGATTTTCAAATAGAAGAGCTCATGATGATTGTCGAACACACACCACATGTTTCCGCATTATGCGATTTATTATGATTTGATGATGTTTTGATAAATCTTAATTACCGGGTTTTTTAGAATGATATTCATTGACAATTTATTAATCTAAAAACAAAAATTGTATGTCATTGTTTTTGGAACATTACAACCACCTGTAATAATAAAATACTCAATACACAGTTTAATATATATATATATATATATATATATATATATATATATATATATATATATATATATGAGTAGGATCTAATGAGAACGACTAAAAGGTTGAGAACGCGAGAACACTTATCAGCCAATCATTTTATTAGGGTATTTAAGTAAATTTGTATTTAATCTAATTTTTAATTAATATAATACAATTAATAATCAATATATTATCCATTAATATTTTCCTATAACTAAGGGATATTCCATAGTTATCGTTCAAGGAGATATTGAATTGAAGATACGATTTCCAGGGACGATTTCCAGTATAGCAATCGGGATTTCAGTCGACTTTTGTATATTGTTAATCATTTACGTTTGAAGATAACAACGCAATATACCATTCGTGATTCAAATCAATATCGATGTCGGATTGTTTTGATTACAGTAGCGATGATACAGAAGATGATGATCAATATGGCAAAGAAGAAATGGACTGTAATGAATATGATGACGACGATTTCTATAATTCGGATGATCAATACAGCGGAAGAAATCAATTATCTGATTATGCGATTGAAGGTAAATAATGAAAACAATGTCAATATCTTGTAAATACAGATCGTGTTTTTCAATAATTATTGAATTTTTGTATATGTTGAATAAGACCGGAGTACATATTTGTATATGATTAGTCATATACGTTGCATGTATTAATTATGTAATGCTGGTTTATATCACATATCGTTGTACAGGAGTCCCTCGTTGGTGATTTTTTCTTAAGTTTAATACAATGTTGATTAAGTTTGATAATCATTGGTGATTATGCGTTAACACGACTCAAATAAGTAAACACTTCAACTCTGGTTACTGTTTCACAAACGTTTATTATGATTATAAAGTTCTGTAGTTTATGTATACGTAATTCATAGAAATTTATATCATGTCTTGCATGCCGCATTATTGTTTTTTGTTGTCTTAAAAAACAGGTACAAATCGAATAAGTAAACACTTCAACTCTGGTTATCGCATTATTATTTTTTGTTTTTTGTTGTCGCATTATATCACAGACGTTTATTTTGATTAAGTTTGATAATCATTGGTGATTATCAATTAACACGACTCAAATAAGTAAACACTTCAACTCTGGTTACTGTTTCAAAGACGTTTATTATGATTATAAAGTTCTGTAGTTTATGTATACGTAATTCATAGAAATTTATATCATATCTTGCATGTCGTGTTATTGTTTTTTGTTGTCTTAAAAAACAGGTACAAATTGAACTGATTCTGAAGAGGAATCCTTCAATAGTAATGTTGTTGACTCGCCTGGTGGGAAAACCAAGTTGTGGAAACCTATTGTTCCTAAAGATTTTATGCCAGATGTACATGCTATATATCTATCATTAGAGGAGGCGGTTGAAATGTATAAATTATATGCAGATAAAGCAGGTTTTGGTGTCAGGTTAAATATAGTAACGAGGTTTGGTGACAAAACCATTAAAAAAAGGTATGTAGTGTGCAACAAAATGGGTAAAATACCTAACAGATCAACTGACACTTTGGATCCTGAGGGAAGTGGAAGGAATAAACGAAACTCAAACTTCAAAATTACGGACTGCAAGGCATTGATAAAGTTTGAAAGGTTACATATGCAAACTAACGCTTGTAAAATATATGAGTTTGAAGAGAGTCACAACCACCCCCTAGAGACTAAAGAAGAAAGACGGTATTCCAAACGTGCACGACGACTTAGTTATAAAGACAAGGAGTTTATAGTGCGTTCTTCAACATCTAACATTGGTGCAACAAAGGCACATAAGTTACAAGCTAGTTTGCAAGGAGGTTATGATAACGTTGGCCCTGAAGCAATTGATTATAAAAATTTCAGAAGGAAGGTGGGAAACATTATAGGTGACAAGGATGCACAGCTGGTTGTTGACAAAATGAACATGAGGAAAGATGAGTTACATAATTACACATTTGAGTATAAATGTGTTGATAATGTGTTAAACACAATGTTTTGGGCGGATGAAACCGATAAGTTATATTACAAGGAGTTTGGAGATGTGATATCATTTGATGCTACATTCCGAACAAATAAGTATGCTCCTATACCCATTATACATTTTTTTATTTAAATATGAATATTGATGTTTTTTGACTTTGTAATCAACGTTGAATTTGTTTTTAATTACCTTTTTTGATACAGGTATGGAATGATTTTTATGCCGTTTACAGCCATTGATAACCACAAACGTTCAATAAACATTGGGGCATGTTTGTTAAGCAATGAGTCAATGGAATCTTATCGTTGGTTGCTCGAAGCTTTTTTGAAAGCACATGTAAAACACCCTCAATTAGTGTTAACAGACCAAGATCCAACAATTCTACAGGCCGTTGAAGCAATATTTCCTACTTCTAATCATCGTTTATGTATGTGGCACATTATGAAAAAACTACAAGCCAAGGTGTGTATATTTCGGTCTAAGTTAACACGCAACATGTTTTATTCATCAACGATTTACACAATTTACATATTTTTAATAACGATTAGCATACATATTGTTTGGAATGTCTATTTTTTTTTAGGTTTCAGCCGATTTTTTGAAAAACACTGATTTTCGAAAGCGTTTTACGAAGCTTGTTTGGAATGTCTATATCGAGCCTGAAGTGTTTGAGTCAAGGTGGAAACTGCTTATGAGAAAATTCAAACTACAGGACAAAAGATGGTTCAAAGACATGTACATGGATGGAAAACTTTCGATTCCAGCCTATTTTAAAGACATGCCATTACACGGTCTGATGAAAACTACTTCAAGGTCTGAAAGCGTGAACTCGTTTTTTAATAAATACTCTAACTCTGGTAATTTGCTTATCTATTTCATGATGAACTACGACACCGCAATTGGAAAGCAACGAAATGCTCAACAGAAACTAGAACATGATACAAAAAATGCAAAGCATGAAATGACGCTTCCAAGTGGCTTACTAGAACATGCAGCTGCGGTTTACACTAAAAAAAATTTCTATGAGGTCAAAAAGGAAATATTTAAAGCATCCTGGTATTGTTCTATCGACAGTGTTGAAAAGATTGATGGGTGGCAAGTTATTATGATTACACAAACGGATAAGAGCAAACAGTTGAAGATAAAATGCAAGGTTATATTCATCGTTTAAACGCTTTTCATTAGTCATCATACAAGTATATTATATCATTATTTTTAAATTAAATATATATATTTTTCAATATTATGCAATAACCACCAACTAATATGTTACTTCAATCAATTACTAACATACATTTTTTTTATTATACAATGTAGGTTGAACTAAAGTTGCCTGAAAAAGAAGTTAAATGTTCATGCAATCACTTCATACGTACTGGCATTTTGTGTCATCATATTTTTGCTGTATTGAAAAACAACCATATTGAAGAGATTCCAGAGCAGTATATTCTAAGAAGATGGAGAATGGATGCAATTTCTAGCCATTTGCTTGCCATGAAACATGTTGCCATGGAAATAGAAGATGACACCTTTAAACTTCTAACAGAGGCATACAACAATATTGAATACTGCTTGGATCATTTCAAAAGAAGCAAAGAGAAATTATTGGAATTTGTTGAAAAAACACGTACGTTGAAGCAGGCAGCAATGGAGTTTGGCAGTTCCAACCAAACATCATCTGATAACGATGAAGAAGAAATTATTCGGATGCTTGGAATACGCAACATTCCTGATGAAATAAATATCCATCCACCTGCATTTATACGTACCAAAGGTAGTGGAACTAAGAAAAGAATGGTTAGTGCTATTGAGAAAGCCGTTGCAGCTGCAAAGAAAAAAACCAAAATGTGCACAGGTTGCAATCAATATGCTAACCATAATTTGAGGACTTGCAAAGTAAGACTTGCACGAGAGTCAAAAACAGCTTAAAATTGCCCAATCGTTTTCCCAATATCTTTTACTTTTCTATTACATTTATGAATAAGAATATGTTTCTATGATTTAGTAGGTTATGTTATCTTAAACCACTTTCATTATTTTTAACGTTTTGTTTTATTCATCGATGAATAATAGCCATGCCAAATCTGGTAATGTTAACAGATTAATGGTATTATCTGGCATTTAAACCTCTTTTATTAGATTAAAACAGTTCGCACTTACAATAGATATACTTTTCCTTTCTTGAAATTATAAAACCATCAATCATTATATACCTCTTTTATTAGATTAAAACAGTTCGCACTTTCAACAGATATACTTTTCCTTTCTTGAAATTATAAAACCATCAATCATTATATACTATAGTCATATACGATCCAAGCAGTATTCATAGTTTATTGTATGTTGTTAGTAGTATATCTTAATAACAAATGTTTGTACGATTAACTTTTAAAACAGCTATACATCATATATTGATTTACGTTTGCGTTTGGGTAAATTTTAGTCATAAGTTTAACCATGGTCGACTTTAAACCCTTAAGTATAGTCAATAATGAATAACATCATAAATACATTAATTATTTTCAACATATTGATGATATGAAAATTGTTAAATACTCTTCTGTTTAAGATAAAACAATTTGCATTTAAAGTATAGTATGTTATGAATAATTCAAGTAAGTGTTTATGCTATTATTCAATATTTAAATAATAACATACTTTAAGATATAAACCCACCAACAATCATTATATAATATAGATATGTTCACTTTAATTATTAAAAAATCTGATTGTATGGTCATAGTAAAATAGCATATTAACAACTATTTGTTAGTAAGAATCATTACTGAATATACACTAAAACTATACCATCAATGTTAATCATCATTTTTTAACATAACTTAATTTTTCAAATGTTAATGTAAAATTATAACTACTAAAATATCACTAGTCCATTACTAAAATTAGCAAACCAAAAGTAACTATTGTACGTTCAGCAACCCAAGTTAATATCCTTAGCATACAAGCATTGTTTTTAAACTATCCAAAAGAAACCATTGAAGTCATAACTAAAATAACTTTTTTAACATAATTAACTTAAATCATCCAATCTCCTGTGATTTTCTTCCTTTGCAATGGCCAACAGTTGAGAACGTTGTTTTGAAGGAATCTTGTAGAATTCATTAACCTTTTGCAACACATAATCCTTTTGCACATTATATTCATGAGTGAGGATTTTGTATAAATACTTTGTCCTCAGTTTAACAAGTTGATCATCTTGTGCAGAAGACTCGTTCTTGAACCCAGCTTTAAACTCATTCATACTTCCACCCATATATGTTTCCATGTGACGCATCGTAAACACACCACAATCAATGATGTTGTTTATTGTTCTCCAATGCATTTCCAGTCTATGTGGCATCACATGTGAAAACATCTCAGCTTTTGGATGATTCTGAGATTTTAAGTAATCAACTATGTACTCTTTCTGAAAATGTAAAAAACATTGTCAACACATATGAAATTTTATTAACTATGTAAAGTAATTTTTATTAATCACTTACAATGATTTGGGGCAACTGACCATATCTCTCACCATCAGGATCATCAACTTTGTGTTCAACGATTACAAACTCTGGTTGTTGTAGATTGATCACAAAAAGGAAAATATGGAAGGAACAGATGATTGGTAGGAAAAGCTGCAACGTTTATTCATTACAATTGTATTCACTTTATTTAATATTCATATTTGATCAATGATAAATACACACGTAAGTAAACTGTGGAGATATATCTCTTACCAATCCAACAAAACGTAGGCTTGCGTCCATATCTTCAATAGAAAGCACCAAATTCTCAATGAATTTATCTTTACGTTGACTTTCTGTTAAATCACTTTCAAGATACGAATTCTGTGATCGATTTTTAAAAACTCATTAACTTTTTTATATGTTGTATTTAAAAAATAGTATAATCAACATTGAACAATATTAAATTATACCGTCACATTTGTCTTGCAATAAACTCTCAGAGGCGATTCAGGTGCACACTTACTTTCATCAAGATTCAACACTTGACTCCAACAATCAATGACATGGCCAAATAGTTCACATGTTGGAAAAAAACTTTCCATGTGAAACCTCTAAGCAGAAAAACCATCCAAAGTGTGGAAAACTATATCACTGCAAAAGACGTGAATAATTAATACTTTTTTTAATAAGCAAACAATAAAATTAAGTAATTTTAAAAATATTTTAAATGCAACTTACTTTGGCTCTCCCTGGAGAGAGAATATCCATTTTGCTACACGTTTTTCCTGCCGTGGAACTCCTTTGATGATATCAACAGCCCGTATAATGTAAGGAGATTTCAGATATTCAGATTTCATGCGAGGTCTGTATCCTCTTCTAATAACCCAATGTTCATCATTGTTAAATGGTACTACAGACAAAGGAATTGACATTTCCATTTTAGATGGTGGTGCATTCTTAAAAGATTTTGTACCAGATCCATTCGCGAAGTCTGCATATTCCTGTGACATTTGAATACTACATTTTGCTATCGGGGAGTTGTCAAACTGTTTGTTAGTTGTAGCTAGAATCAGCGTACATTCAATTTCAGCCTCGTTATCATACCACCATTGAGATTGTTCTGGTTCCTCTGATGCAGAAACTTCAGTAAACAAATCATTTACTTTGTTTTTCCATTCTTTGACCAACTGATTATCAAGATATTTCTTGACAACATCATTTATTTTGTCTTCCAACACTTTCTTTTGCTGCAATATCATGTCGTACATCTCCTTTATTGTTGAAATAGTTGTCTAATTAGGTCACCACGATAGAATTATGCTACAAACCAAATAAAAACATTAATATGTCAGTTAGTATTAATTAATACTTTAGTAACTCATTATTCAAATGTGAATAGGTAGTAAACTACCTCAACACTTTCCCCACTTCCACTAAAAATATCATCTCCTTGATTTCCCTATGAAAAGTAACAGAATATTAGTTGTTGTACTAATAACTTATTATTTAGTAATGATTATATTATATTACTACCTTACACCTTACACCTCCTACATCATTTCCCTGTCAATAATGTATGAATGTAATTAATTTATATTATACCAAATAAACAAATAATAAATTTTATATGCATTGTTCAATACAATAAAATATTACCTGAACTTTTTCTTGCCCTACATTACCAGTTCCCGATGCTTGATTGATGACTTGAAATGGATCTTGCAATTCACCCGTACCCAGACCAATTGTCCTACACTCTACTCTTTCTCGCTCACGTAGTTTATCAACATTCCAACAACATATTGCTGGTCTGCATCGTACAAGCTTCACTGAATCGCATCGAACATTTTCTACGTATAGCAACTACAACAAAGACAAATAAAAAATGTATTACTTAAATACACTTTAATGAATCTGCACACATAAGGCTACAAATATTGAATGATAGTTTAAATTAAAACAAATCTTACCAGCAGTAATATAATTGGCCCAACATAGAATCCTTTTTTGCTGTTTGGAATCTATGCACTTTTTGTCTCCTTAAGGCAATCAAAAACATATCCACACCAATCAATGTCACTTAGATCCAGGTCTTTTGTCACTTTTGATAACATCGATAGGTCACATGTTCCCATGCTCATCGACTGACCTAGTGTATTACACAACAGGACAAAGATGTTTACTTTAAACATTAAATCTGCACGTGTTGATTGCATAATAACTTGTTGAACTGCCCTTGGTCTAATATTATCTTCATCTTCGAATTGTTTTCTCCAAAACAGTTATCGTGTCGTCTGTGACTTCTCTATAAGGCATGGACTTTATTGTAACATGTCCCAGGGGGCAGACCCAACATTTCGTGAATAACTTGCCGATTGATTGGTATCTCTCCATGATGAAGTTTGAGTACCATCCTATCTGCATTAAAATTCCTGACAATATAATGCCCCATAATTGATGCACACCCATCCACTTTCATATTCAACAAATGCCCCAGACCAATAGAAGAAATATAAGCTTCCTGTTCCTTGCTAAGGTTATGCATACAACTATAGAAAACATTTGGAGATGTCCATACTTGTATTCACCTAGCTTCTTCTGCACCACTTGCTACCACTTTAGCCAGTTTTCTTGGCTTCAATACATTTCCTTCTTTATTCCGCTGTCTTTTAAATTTCTTCACATTTTCTTTGTCATCATCTTTGAATGAAGTATGATGCCTTCTCTTTTTCCTTGTTACCACAGGTTTGTCAACTTCAAAATCAGAGTCTTCATCTTCGTGAAGCTTCTTAACAGTAACATTATCTTTTCCTGTTAAGACATATTTAACACAAAAAATGATTGTAAATGAATTACCAAACCAATACTATACTAAATTTATTAAAAAAAAAAAAAAAACAGTACCTGAAAATGAGTTTATAACAACAACTTCATCACCTTTTATTTTACATATATCAAAACGTCTTTTTATTCTCAATTCATTCTCCCTATTTAGTCCACTATCTTCTGTCAAGTCATAACTTTCAATCAAACCTGCCAATAATTAGACAACATAATCATAACTGAAGATACTTTAATATACAAGTTACATTACATGAAATCATCATTCATACTTTTTTTTTTCTATATATTTTTTTTAGCTTTTGAAAACCTTGAATTTCCTCCATCAAACTTCTTCACATTGACTTTGGGTTTCATGTTCTTTTCTATTAATAAATACAAAACAACACAAGTTATTAAAACTAACTACAACATCAAACTATAAATAAATTTATTTCTAAACAAGTACATTACTTGAATCTGAGCTCAAAACTACAACTTTAAGATCCCTTCGCATTGAATGAGCTGGTGTGCGATTAACACGTTCCCCCACACCTGTCCAAAAAATAAGACACATAATCACTATAGTTTCCAATTGATAGTTATCATTTTAAATTTCATATAATCATCATCACCACCAGTTTGTTTTTTAGTTTTCTTCTTAGGTGTTGAACACTTCTTTTGTCCTTCTCTTCTTATCTGAGGTTGTACTAGTTCGTTTCCTTCATTGTTTTCATCTTCAATATCAATAAGCAATGGATTGGATTCTTCATTAGTGAATTTGCTGAATGCCGTCTTTAGTAATATCCTCTCGCTTTTCTTTCTACCTAATAGTAGAATTAAAATACCTTAATCCTTTATAACTCAGAATTGAATCATTAACAACTCAAATAATCATAAATTATACATAATAAACACAAACACAATTAAACACATACCCAAAAAACAGAGGAATGTTTACAATAATCATCAATAAACAAACAATGTAATTAAGTAACTCACATAAAACAGTTGGGACTCCTACACCATCATTCTTTACATGTAAAATCATGTACAGGATCAAACCA